CGTGATACCTCGGGGTAATTATTCGGGTCTATCGCATTAATATCGATAATATCAATCAACGTCAGCGGGCAAGTTAAATTAATACCTTTATGAATCGAGTGTCGTCACATCAATCAGATGATATTGATTGATGGCTGATCGTAAAACAAAATTCGCGCATTACCCGCCTCTATTGACGACTGAACTGATCTGTGGCCCACACAGTTGCGGTCTTGACATCTACTCGTATATTATAACTATTAAATGAATCCACGTTTTAAATAATATTAATTAATGAAGTTTAAGTCAACGTTATGCCTATTTAAAACAATCAACAGTTTTGAGGTGTGTTACCTGTCATTTAGCATTAAATAATAAATACGTATTCTGGGCTGTGAATTATAATTGAATGATAAGTTTCACCAATCCTGCCGGACTGCTCCGTCCCGGGATTATCTCGTGAAAAATCACGACCGAAATCATGTTCGCCATCCGTATTTGTCGAGGGCCAGAGATCCGGACATCATTTTCATTAGGAGTGAGTTCCACTCCATTTATACTAATGCTGAGGTGAGGGTTCATCCATCTGTTACCATTTTATACCAAATTCCTATCATATGTCAGATTTGGCATAGAGTTTCAGATGTTATCAAAACAAAAATATAATTTGTTTTCATTTCATAATTTATATTCTAGCTTGAGTTGTTAAATTAAAAATAACTTTAATTTATTTTTTTTCACTCGTTAAGATACTTTGAAAATTTGCAAAAAGTAAAATATGGTGATAGAGTAACGAAAATTATTTAATATATATAAATATACACTAATATGAAAGTCCATAAAATAGGTCTGATCCGAAGTTAAGTATTCTTCATGTTAGCAACGTATATAGTAATATGTCGCTCCTTTTTTATTTCCACTGTTAATATTCAATAAAAAATATTTATTAAAAAAATTATTACCGCAATAAAAAATTGAAGAAATGTTTCTATAAATATAATTAGAGTGAATGTGTTGCTATACGTCAGTGTGAATGTACATTTTATTATAAGTTGTAAGTCGTAGTTGTAAGTAATGGTAAACAAGTGATGTATAGTTGTAAAGACGTGCTCAGCTATGCACTATTCACACGAGAGGCCTCGTGTAGCGTCAGCGGAGACATTGTTTATTAATGTTTATATTTTAGACACGCTCGTAAAACATGAACGTATACTTTTTATTTCCATTATAGAATTACGTGATCTATTAACTTGTGGGTTGGCGGTAATAAACTACTTATATAATTGTTCAAAGCAGTGAACAGCTAATTTTTTTAAATTAATTTTGTTGTATGTTTTATATAATATGGTAGTGTAATTATGTTGTTCGTTCTGTATCTTTTTAACATGTGTCAGAACTATGATTATTCCTTCATACAAATTCGATTTAATGTTTTTTGACAGCGAGTGAGAACCAATTCACAGTGTCACCGTGAACCCACAACTAACAGCGATAACTAATCTTTTCCATGATCGATTACTTTAATTATTATCGAGTGCGTTATCAGACAGACCGCGGAGTAGTGTGTTTTCCAGACAGATCAGTTATGTTTCCTGTAAGTCGTATTGTCGCTAAGTACTCCTCGCGTGCATCTCATTGCTGACGTTACATTTGATCCAATCCTACTTGCCAAGTACCTGCTCTATCGTCCCCGATGCAGAGGGCGGGGACTATGTTGCGTTTTGACCAATGATTTTGCTCCGTTCAGGCAAAACTAATTATACTGATTTATGCTCCCATTGTTCATTGTTGTATGTCTTTCTCTGGCTATACGTTTTAATGCATATGCATCGTGATGCATCGCCTATCAACTTTTTGTTTTTCCGACATCGCAATGTTCCAAGTAGCGAGTTCTAAGAGGCGTCCTTCAAATATAAAAAACGTTCGCCATGTGTTATTACAACATGGTCGTAAGACGAAAATGACATGGCTGACTTAAAAAAGTCGATATGCCGTGATAGGTGAGCAACTTAATGACTACATGTACCTATAAGAACAAGCTTTGAACTCAGGCATTTTTATGAGGTTAAACTTTTAATATAACTACAGTATACAAGCACGACATAATCAATATTACCGTCATATATTGTATCATAATAACGTTAAATGTATTCCTCCCAGTAGAGAACAGACAAGCATCGTAAAGCCTGCGCCGGCGCATTCACCTGTCGCCCGCACGTGGGCGGAGTCGGGGAATTTGATTTTCGCGCTTTTTTCCCTTTGGACCCGTCATCAATGGCGAAATTCGGGTGCGATATTTTCTGCAGTTGGAATCCGAAGGCTGTAACTGGAGTTGAGATATTTATTTCTTCAGCCGCCGTTCTGAGATTTATGAGACAAGTTCGGACTTTTTTTTTTGCATCGAATTTATTTGAAGGGTCCTTAATCCAGGTATTGTACAAGATAAAAGATTTCCACGAATTTATCTGAACTCGATCGTGATGGTATAAAATACACTTAGAGGTCACCGCAACTTTATAGCAATCCTATAATAGCCGGTTCAATATGAAAAATGTGTAACGCAATTCGTCATAGATAGCATCGACCGTCACAAGTCTCGGAATTTCGTGAATACATTTTGATATTCGTTCGCGTGTTGTAACGATAGTGGATATAAATAGGTCAGGTGTCAACCGGCGGATAAGTCGGCGAACAAACAACAATGGTCAGTGGCTTCGGGGGAGGTGAGTGGTTTTCGACAAGATTGATAGTTAACAATTATGAAAAATGATTTCAAAGCTAAGAAACCAGATAAGAATAATGCCTTTTCCATTCGTTCTATTGCTTTATATATCAAAGTATTTACAATACGTCAACTACAGTTTCGAACAAAAAATAATTTCATAAATATATATATTTAAGGTCTAGTTTTTTTGTGTTCAAACCATAAATATAAATGACTATTAATACATAAACATGAATACAACAAATGACATAATCAAATGTAACCTGACACTGTAACAACGAACAAAGGGTGAGGTTATTCAAAGCGACTGACAGAATTAAAGAACGACCGCACGTTTGTCATCAAGATCAAGTGTTTCCTGCACTATCCTGTCTCATCTGAGCATACATGGATTCACACTTGACTGGTTACACTCCTTACTGAAAAATAACGAATACGAGAGAACTCTCACAGAATAAAAGCAAAATGTAAACTATTTATACGTACTTATTTAGTTACGAAGACTACAAATATTGTTTTTATTAGGCACCAACGTTATTAGAATTACAATAAAGCTTACTTCAATTATAGCTGACTATTAATTCAAACAGTTCATATAAAAACTAGGTTGAAAATTTTGAATACTTCAGAATAAATATTGTTAAAAAATTATTTGTTAAACATTTTATAAAAAAAAAAAATAGATTGTTGAAATATAAATCTTGAAGCTGTGTAGTTAGTATACGAGTGGTCACACTGCGTCCAATTTCGGATTCGATCTCATTACCATAACGCGAGTGCTGCCACTCTCCACTGTCCTTACCGCAACCACGATACTATTTAAATTTCCAATTTTATATGTAGAAGTAAAGTAAGAAACTAGAAAAAACTTTAAGAAAGAAATTAGATTTAAGCTTTTGTAAGATTCTGCCGTAGAAATAAAAAAACTATTGGTACAGATACACCTACTTACTTAATTTAATAGTTTTATTTATTTATTTATTTTATAGGATCTCCAACAGAAAATAACAATAGTATTACAAATATTATATACCTAGTTAACAATTGAACATACTTGATAATTGTATTTCTTTTTATAGGTAATCACAGCATGCACTAAATATATTAAACACTGGTAATTATCACAAGATTGTTTTCTTTGGATCAATTATATAATTAAAAAGAAAATGAATTATTTAACAGTATTATAACAATATCAATTGATTTGTATTTAAATGAACATATTAAAAACAAAATAAATTAAATAAACAGTAAGAATTTTTTAAGTTAATTTTGAGTTAATAACAATACTTAATAATTTTAGTTTCAATAATTACAAGTTATTACAAGTATTTATTTCGTATGTACGATATAATTTCAAGGAAACCCAAGAATTACAAAACAATAGAAAAGCGTTAATACTCAATTCCACATGTTTAATGCAGATTATTTTACAATATAGTATTTGGATGCGCACTAAGAGTCATCTTTAAGTCGGGAATGTACGGATCGAATTTCATTAGCATATCGAGCTTGAGGACACTTCAGCACAGACACCATGCACACCCTAACTCGTGTGATTCGTCGCCAGATTAAACCTTGGTGTTGGAATAGATAGTGCACATTATCATATTCAAGGAGCTGACTTCTAGCTTCTGAGGTTTCCTCTTCCGAAAATATTAATTACTATATTATATGGAATCACCAAATAATATGATGCTAAACAAATAGAATCAGAAATAATATATGTCATTAGTTTTTTAGATAAATTAAACACATTAAATTAATCAAGTTTTCTAAATGTGAATTATTCTAGCGGGTTCGGAGAAGGGTGAGATGTTATGGATGCACCGAGCAGGACCGAGGACGACCGCATTTTATCTTCGACTAATGATCTCCAACGCTACGTAATGAGGCACCCCACCTTCCAATAAGGTATTTATGAGAGCGTCCTTTGTAATGGAACGTGTCAACTCGGCGGTGGAAAGGTCACCCCGTATTATCGTCCAAGAAAATTAGAGAAAGCATTTGCGGTGAGGATTACAATATATTTAGACACTATGCATGCATCGCCCTTTTTAGAATAAAGTGTGAAGAAAATTTAATAGGACACATATTTCATTCGGTTTTGAGCGAGGTTAATGTTTAAATGAAACAAATAAAATATGTGGTATCTATTCATTAAGGAAAATAATGAAGTAATTCCTGTGACCGGTGTCATGGTTTAATAAAGTTGTCTGGGTACCTTACCGTGAGTTGTCTCATCGGCCACTTATGGAAAGGTTCTAAATAAAGGAAAAGGACAATAGCCGATCGCATGTCGCCGTACGCAGAATGCGACTCGTTAAGTCGCTTCGAATTTAAGAGACAGCTTCTAAATATCCAGTGGCGGCGTGCGCATGCGTCGGGAGATCTGTATCGCGCGCACAATACCGCGACCGGCCGTCACGACGACGGTAGCAGAAATATGGACGGGCTCACATGCCTTCTTGTTTTATGTTAATGCACCTTTAAACAACTAGCGAAAAATATCGCGGACGTCGCAGCCGGTGATGAAATACCAGATATCGGGTTCTGAAATATCGCTCGGTAGGTAAGCTAACGACGAGAACTCTTGGGTAATTGTATCGGGTCATTCGATATATGTATAACGAATAGAAGGAAAAAAGCACGATACGAATGTGGATTGTATCGTCCATCAGAGAAGGAAGTGTAATAATTAAGGAGGACTCGTCGCAAGGGCGACGCATTCCCACTCGCACTATCGACACTGTCGATCTGCCGCGGGTGAAATTCCGAAACCTAATAAGTCGCCCAGTCTCATTTGTGTAAGGAGTCGACTGGAAAAAAGAACAATACTGATAAAGGAGACGGCCCAATAATTTAGGGTCATTGTTTCGCCACTTAATTTATGGAGTGCGGGTGTACGATTGATTTGTAGGTTTAGGAGGGGTCTGTAAAAGAGTCCGGGATAAGTGCTTTTAAATCCAGCTAGGGTTTAGCGTCTAGGGCGTCTCCGAGCGTCAATGCGTCGAGAAAAACTCAATTTATTCGTAGCATCTTCGCAATATACATACAATGTCGCATTAAAATGCACGATAGGATTGGCCGGTGATACTGGGCGGGATGCAGACCATATACGCGCTCGTCGTGATGCACATATTAAGTTAGGCCTCTACATGGACGCCATCGGATACCGGAGAGGAATTACGATAGTCACCGATGACGTCTCCGGTCGTGAGTGTCCCTTCGGTAGTGAGAGCACAATGGGCGCGCCCGAATGAAATTATTAAAGCCCTAAAGCATTCAGTGTTACATTAAAAGGCGGGTGGTAAACGTGCCTGTAAATTATATTCCTGAAACCTCCTCTAATATTATCTGGAATAGACAATATCACGAGCCCGATGCTTATTTATGACTCGAAGGTTTTGTTTGTTAACAATTATACGAGGGAGATGGATATTATAGAAAATTTATTGTTGATCATAATAATATTTGTTATGTGGATGTTTAAGATGAATGCTTTTTTTTAATATAAACGATAGGTAAGTAATGAATTTGAGATTTGTAACATTAATGTATGTTTTCAAAGTATTTGAAATTATCGATATGTCTCCGTTGACAGTTTACTAAGGCAGTTTCAATATCGGATTAGCATTAATTGGAACGGTTGGCGATCCAAGATTACGCCTTCTATAAATGGCGCGAGGGTTTATGGTATCGGGTGCTGCGTTGTTGCCGTCAAGTGCGCCCGCGCTGGCTTGTAATTGGTCGAGAGCTGGTTGACATTTACACGCAACCAAGATGGCCGGCCGATGCCATATTGCGACGAGTAATTGACAAATCGGCTCGTTTGCGCACTGGCGCCAATGTTGGATCCATTTGCACCGTCCACTTCATTATATTGGTCGCATTTTTTTGCATAATTAGAAAATTAAGTACGTATTATCTTTTTGTTACTCAATTGTTTTTGTTTTATATTATTTATCAGATATCGGTATTGCCTAAGACAATTTGTGCAGACATTGGTACAAATGTTTGTTCAACTAGCTCTTCAATAATGGGTTGCATGCGACGCTCCTATAAACGTTTCTTTTGCTAATAAGCTAGTTTCTTGGAACCGCGGGGTTACGTGTTCGATTCCCGGACAAATTTCACAGCTTGTTTTGTAATTACACTTTGTTTCGTGCGATTCGTAGATTAGTTCTATAAGAGTCCGTGTTGTTTGTGCCTGTAAATGTTTATTTACTATTTTTATGTTATTTACCAGGTTGCCTTGTATCCATCACCTAAAACAATACCTTTGTTTCTGGTTATTTATATTACTAAGAGAGGTTTATTTGATATTCCTTATACTTTTTACTATTGATTGATGAAATAAAAAGCTGTAAAAGAACAGGATAATTCATTATATTAGTGCAAAAACTTTCCAATTTCCTTTGAAAGGGTTTAAGACGTCGTCTGGCGCCAGCATGATGGATCAGCTTGACGATCTATCCATCAAGTATGGACAGTTTATACAGCGGTCATGGCGGACTTATATAAATACGGGTAAAGAACTTTAATGTTAAATAAGTATACGGTTAGCACTATACCTAGTAGTTAAATACAGAAAACAAACAAAAAAAAAAGAAATATTATCTGCATAGAATAATTTTTTTTATTTATTTATTTTGCATAGTAATTGAATACAATAAAGTTGTTAAACATGATAATTATCGTGAATCTTCCAATATAATATATATTTTTTGTATTTCTACATAATACACGTACAAATTTCTTTAATACAATCATTATTCTTATCTACGTGTCAGATGATCGATCGCGCTCACTTAACCAGGTAAACAATTCGGTCCCTAATTGCCACCTACCAATTTTTTCATGTCAAAGTCAATAAATTTGAAACTATTCGAAATTAGATTTTATTGATTTGCAATAGAGCTGCTAATTAAGTGTTCACATATATGTCAAAATTAAAGGGTTGCATGATTGATGTTGTGTCAATAATTTCGAGCCATCGCCAAATGTCAACAGCGATTAGATAAAAATATTTAACATTTATATATGAAGCGATGTCTAGCTAATATCATACATAAATATTGTTTTTACAGATGTAGATACAACAGAAGCTGTTATAATCACGAGTAATGAAACTAATTTAAAGGTTCTAGTGAGGCGGTGGTAGCATACTTTATGGTTCCAATAAAAAACTGCAAAGTTGAAATAGTCCGCTGGTAGGGTGTCCATAATAAACATGTCAGAGGGACAGTCCGATACTCGACATCGCACTTATCAGTGACCATAACGTCCTCAATTTTACGACAGCCTCTCGATGCTCGCGTACGTAAATTCAAACAAAACGTCAAGCCGCGAGATTTTATATTACAGATCAAGGAAATTGTAACGATATTTCAGCGATAATGTTTTTTGTTAGTGAACAGATATCTTTATGTGTATTTCTTGGACGTTCATACCGGTCAGATAATGGGGTTGCATAAAATGTTATACTGCGAAACGTCTGTTTATTTGTAGCGATAAAATGAATTGCAATAATTTATAAAGTTTACGTATCATGGGGACGTCGGTACTTCACGGTAAATCATTTTAAAAATACTTTACCGTCGAGTAAGAGACGACGAGCCCGCTAGTTATCGAAGCCTTTTCAGCTTCGTTTCGCTTTTTCTATCGTGATCATAGCAAAAACGTAACCGGTCTGCGTGTAATTCTAATTAGGCAATTCAAGCTCCGGTCGGTACTAATGGGGCGACTTCGGTGCCATAAAGCAAGTGCAATCTGATCGTGTGAACACGCTGTCCGGGTCCCGGGAACATTGTGCGCAGACATGCGACGTTGTCACCCTACTACTCGCGAATACAGATTCTTCTATCGATATCACACTGATGAATTCCTCTTATTTCAACTTATAGTCTTGATGAAATCCCTTGATCACAAATGTCATTTTACGTTCAATTTATTTATTTATAATAGAAAATAGCAACATAAAAAATACACAGAAAACTGAGTTAAAGTTTTCCTTCATCGAGATTTCCATTGAGCTGCGGTCGTGACACAGCAATACTCGCCGAGACACGGTGTCATAAATTATATAAAAACAAACGTCACCGTACAGGGATACACACTCCGTGCCTTATTGATGGAAACCATTCAAACACCATTTAGATAGTGAGCTGGCGTTGACGTATTATTATTGTGAGACTCGGAACAGGTCGACTGCGCGGCCATTGGATGCGGTATATTGTAGTCGTTTTTATTCATGTGATAATAGTTATCGATAAAACTTTATGCTCCGAATAGAATGTTTTTATGATATTATATATTTATAAACACAGTCAAGACATACACAATATCAATATATAATTTCGGAAATACTGAACTCAAACCAAACCAGTCTTCTTAAACATATTTAATATTTGAAATATAAGGCTGCTTTTAGGTACCAGAAGTTTTAATTACGATCCCATAGTTAACAAAGTTTTCAAAACTAAAATCATGGAACATAACCATAAATTATTTGAAAGATTACATCGTCGTCTTCCATCGAAGGATGTGAATTCTTAGATCTTAATTTAATGACAATCCCAATATACATCGAGTTAAAAGATATCTGTCAGCATCTCTGTTAGTAATATACCGCATCCAGGGATCTGACGGCGGAACCTATGTCATACATAACTCACCAGTGACAATCGAATCTCGTCGGTTAAAGAAACTTATGCGCTATTCTGGAACGGAACATCCTTAAACTTAATGGCGTATTAAACTAACTCCCAGAGCGGTCCTACTCGTACATACTACACTTATATATTGATTTGTTTAATGTTATGAGATTATATTTGTTATGGGATGTGACAGATGAGAAGAAACTCTTCTTGTATACTTGAACTATTGCTTTTGAATGTTTACATGGAAGGCAGCAAAGGAATTTAAAGAAAATAATAGATGAAACAAAAACCAAATTGAGAGCTTCTGGACTATAAAATTCTTTACGTAAATTATAAATACAGATATGATTATTTAAACATGATACGAGTATACCGATCTGTTTCATTTCCTACGCAGATTTATCCTAACAATAATTTATTTATATTATAATAAACAAAAATAAATTATAATCTTTATTATTTTTATATTGTATGGTATTGTATAATATATAATATTTTTAAATATCATAAAACAATGATCAGCTTTCGTCCATCCAACCATGTTGACATACTTTCTAGTTTAAAATATATTAGTAATAGGATTTCAAATGGCGTGTTATATAAAATGAAAAATATAAACTTCCGCATTGTGAGACCACGTGAAAATAGTATGATAATAAAAATAAAATTGTATCTTGTGTCACATCGTAAAATTGCACTAAAGTCTTTTTAATGGGCTCTTAATGATCTATTAAATTTGATATTACACAAATTAGGTAACACACAGAAATCATGGGTGATCTTAAAAGTAAGTTATTAGTTTAGTACAATAATAATTTAGAACATATTTAGTTTAATAATCTTCTATATATATAAAAATGGATTGCTGTTCCTTAGTCTCGCTAAAACTCGAGAATGGCTGAACCGATTTGGCTAATTTTAGTCTTGAAATACTCCTGGAAGTCCAGGGAAGGTTTAAAAGGTGAGAAAAATTGATTCATTACTGGGAAAACCATAAAAACAGACCTTTTCTATTTCCCATACAAAAGTTTTTTTTGACATTAGATTTGATAACTAACAAATATGTCAATTCTGTTTGATTGAAACAGGAAAAACCTGATTATTTATGGCCTCTAAGACGGAATAGAGTTCGACTGGTCAGCTACACCTACATAATATATTACTCTTGACTAAACTAACGCGGACGAAGTCGCGGGCAAAAAACTAGTATTAAATATAAATAAAGCTACCCTTGAATAAGACATTAAAATTTTCTTATTACAATAGGTAGGTACTGGAATGGCTTGTTCTGTCGGATACTTTGTAAGGGCACAAAATTATTTTCTTATTTTCATATACAACTTAATATCTAAATGAAATAAGCTATATATTTTGACACGCTGTCCGATATCTACACTAGAGTACAATTAATTATAGTAGTATGAATCTAAGCGCCGGCGCCGAGGACAAAAAACGCTTTCATCTCAAATGATAAAATTAAAAAACTGTAACCGGAAAGGGCATAAAGACAGATTTATAACAATCTAGCGATGATCGAATAATGACGATACCCACAGAGCTGTGACGTACAGACACGGAGTATTAAAATATCATTAACAACT